AGGCTGTTCAATGTTACCAAGGAGAACCAGACCGAATTTTTTTTTTTTTCACTTGTTCCCCGATCTTGGACCGGTGAAAAGATCAAAACTTCACGTGAGTGAGCATGTTCGCTTCTCCAAAGATCGTCACGATCTTTTGAAAAATAAGAAGCAACCCTTCACGGACCAGGTGTTTATCGTGGACCGAAATCGATTAGGTGTTCCCAATACCTATCACCTAGTCGAAATGGTGAGAAAAGAGCCCGTTCTCGGCTCTTTTTACGAGGCAGAACTGCAGCGCGTTCCATAGCCGAAAACAACACCTGGATTATCGAGAAGTTTATAAGACGCCGACGTGCGACCTATCTGCAATACTTTGTGAAATGGGGGAGCTACAATTCCTCACACGGCAGTTCCCGTAACGCGAACGATTTTAAACAATAAAAGAGAGAAAAAGAAATGTTTGCTTTCTTTACGCGATGCATCGAGTCTTGTGCACTTTGTGCAGATCGCGATACACACAAATAGTGAGTCTTTTTTTAATAATTTTTATTTAAAATATTTGATACGAGCAATATATGTTCATGACTGAGATTTATCTCGTACATTGAGTCTTTCCTTCCTTCGAGCAGTCGCCGAATTCGATAGACGTTCAGAGGACATCTTCGGAGGCCCATAGACTCGCTGATGATGCAGTTGTCTTCACACTCGAGATCATATTGCCGCAAAGCAACAACGTCCATCTCCTCGAGGCAGTGCTTCAGCGCGTCAGTCTGATTCCTGTCCAACTTACACTGGCTCTTTTCAAATAGCCCTCTTTTGTCCATACACGTATTGCCAAGACCGATAGACTGATGTACTTTCTTGTCTTTGGTCAGATTCAGCTCGAGCTTGCAATTTGAGCGCAGGCTTGCGTGTGACATGCTGACGCCGATGGTGATCACGCAGACAATTAGAAAGAAGCCCAAGATAACTGTGAGAAGGGACTTAACGGGCAAGCGCGTCATCGCCATAATGATGGTGCGCTGTCGATCTGAGGACGCCAGCTCTGGGGACGCCACGAGGTGACAAAACGTAGCACGGAAATGTTCCCCAGCTAAGCTTTCAGTTATGATATTTAAAAAATGAAAGACGTTTACAATTCTCAGTAATGACGAATCAGAGCGCAGCTCTTAAAGAGGAGGAGGGGAGGGTACACAGGGGGGGGGGGGGGGGGGGTGCAGAGGGGAGGGTATGCCCCCCTACCACTTCGAACCCTCCCCTCCTCCTCTTCAGCTCCCCTCCCATTTAGCGTAATTGGTTCTTCGAAATCAGACAAAAGCACGTATATTCGTAAATTACCGCATTATAGAAAGGAAATGTTTGAAGAGACGCTGGACGTTATTTTCTACGTGTTCGTTTACGAACAACCGTTTTTTTAAAGATCACCCGAACGTTGTGTTCATTAAGGACATTCCACAAAATTTGGATTTTGAAACAAACTCGCTAATTATTTTCGAAGAATTTCTCTCGAATAGCACAAAACTGAAGGAGATATGCGAGTATTTCACAGGCGCTGCTCACCGCTATAAAGAATGTCATTTTCATTACTCAAAAAATGTTTCACCAAGCTTCATATGTTTGAACAATCAGCTTACATTCTACGGCTCTAATGATATTCCGGTCGGTCAGGATTGTCGATCAACTCCAAAAGGTATCTCGACAGCTCTTTGGGTAAAAAGAGGGCATGTCTTTCCGCGTATATATTCGGACGCGCTTAAAACAGCATCCAGTTACATCCTGATAGATCTGTCGCAAACTTGTTCCGATAATTCTCACTTGAGAGCAAGGACCTTGCCGGACGAGCGACCAGAAGTCGTCTGCGACACGTCCTCATGAATCGTTTGAAGGGACATGTACGATTTTTGCACCTCCTGTCAGCAGCTAAATCTTCTAGACAAAATCGTTCAGCCTTTCCACTCTCGTTAAGAAGGAAGACCAGCGGAGCTGTACTTGATACACTGTGTGTTTTTTCTTCGTCGTCGTCTTTTTTTCGTGCTGTTTCCTACGGTGAATTCCCACCAACACGCCCAACTATCCATTCTTCTATGATAGCTGGAAAGGTTGCCGCCATCTACGAGTGACGGCAGAAACCATACTGGTTGTGTGCTTGCCGCCGTCGTCTATAGATGGCGGTAGCTGTCCGGACAGGTTTGTGTCGGCATACCGGACACGATCCTGGGAAACCTAGCCCTTAACTGCTCCGCTGTAAAAAGAAGTCCTCTGTGATGTCAAAAAAGAACATCTAAACATCACTCGCAAAATTTGCTTAAACCTTTGCACAGAAACGTTCCTCTACCATCAACTATAAAAAGGAAGGTAAAGAGGTTTGGGTACCCCTCCTAAGATCACTGAGAAACCGAATAAAAAAAAAGTCCCGAGAATTTAAAAAGGGTATTGATACAGCAAGACGGCATCTTACCTTTGATCCTTCCGGCTTTGTTGGGTTCGTTATCTGCGCTCGGACGAAGAGCTATTGCCAAGGCCATCGGAGTGTGAAAATGAAAAACTACCATCGCGTACCTTACAGAGAAGAGCATATTCCTGACGTTTTAAGACAAGACGGGGAAGCTGAAGACGTCAAGCTAAAAAAAAATTATGCAAACGCTCCAAACGAGTTTACGGTCGCACAATCCGGATATTAACAACGTCACGCATCACAAATCTATTATTTTTACGAGAGAACAGACGTCACAGACGAACGATGTCATGGAAGATCGCTACATCGTTGCAGTCATCAATTATTTGAGCAAAACATATAAGAAAAAGATCGATCGCATCTAAATTTGTTAAAACCGCTGTGATAGCATAGGACGCGACTCGTTGGAGATTACAATCGACGAGAAGCCTCTCCAAGAGTCAAATATCATTGATATGGTTTCTTATCTAATTTCGCGATCAAAACAGATGTCAGTTCCCGTTCATTTCGAACGCGTCGCGCCTCTATTAGTCATACACAGTCTGCCAACGAGCATCGTAAACTATGATCGCTTTAAAGGAAGAGCGGCCAAAGCAGGATCGACCAGTCGACGGGGTTTGTTCTCTCCGCCCATTTCACCGAAGCTTTCCTCGGAGCAGCAGGAAACACCACCATCGCCGCACTCACTGTCGATCTTCGCTGTTGCTGCTGCAGGTTCCGCTGTTGATCCTTCTCCGTGGATATCCAAACATCTCGTCGAGAAGGCATGTAAGATATTTAGACGATGATTACTTCAAGAACGAGCTAATTTTTTCCACATCTCCTTCACGTCAAAGAAAGAAGGTTGAGGGGCTCTTGAAAAGCAATTCGTCGGTAATTGCCTATACCCCCGATGGAATGTTGGCTCTTCATGTAGAAATAATCAAGGAGTCCTACATAAACAATCTACTACGCTACAATCTCTACAATAGACAACCTTCCTGGGTGAGGTGTACAGTTTCCACCGTAATGAACAACTTCCTACACCTGTCAGCCGAATTTCGCGCTCACTCTTAGTGGCGGAAGACAAGATGCCGTCGCCAGAGAAAGAAAGCAAAGCAGACTACTACAGAGATGCCCATCCCGCATCCTTCGGTGCAGCCATACGGTACGAAGAACGGCGTAAAAGACTTTAGAAAGATCCGACGCTTAGAACCTTGTTTACGGAAACCGAACGCCCTCGTCTATACCGCAAAAAGTTGTCCCTGGCACTTCGACGTGTCTATCGGGCGGACCCCGAGGAAATTAAACGAATTGCCAAATATAATGATAGGAAAAGATACACACTGTTTGTGATCGATACAATATCTCGATTTCTCTCCACCGTTCTGATTACCCGAAAGACGGAAAAAGAGGTCATGAGAGCACTTAAAACTGTCTTTCGTGGGATGAAGAAACGAAGGTTTTTATGCACAAATCACGGCCATGAATTTTACGGAAAATTTGGCGGGTGATATCTGATTAAGAAGGGAGTTACATTTTATTTATTTTTTTTTCAAAGCAAAAGGATTCTATAGTAGAACGCGTCCAAAGAACCCCCATGATGAGCCGAACCTCTAACTACCTTGAGCATACAGGAACGAGGTGATTAGTGGAGGTCCTTCCCGAAATTGCGAAAGTCCTACAACTCCAGCTACGACAGTACGCTGGGTGCTCGGCCCATCGACACCACCAAGGAGAATCAGATCGATTTTTTTCTTCGTTTTTTCCCTCCTCCGTCGGGACCACCCGAGAGGCCGAAATTTCGGAACGGGGACCATGTGCACATATCCAAAGTTCGACACATTCTTATAAAAATGTTCAAGCAATCCTTCACGAATGAGGTATTTATTGTCGACAGAATCCGACTACGTATTCCGACAACATATTACCTCGTCGACATGGTGAGAAAAGTGCACGTCCTCGGTTTCTTCCACGAAGCTGAGTTGCAACGTGTTTCCATCCCCGAAAACAAGGTCTGGACCATCGAGAAGATTTTGAGAAAATCAAATGCACTCCAAAGAGTGCATTTGATTTTTTTTTTCTTCTCAAATGCACTCTTTGGAGTGCATTACGTGAAGAGGGAAAGTATCTAATATACAAAACACGAAGTAAGCTATCAGTCAATATGGTTCGCGTATACAATATAACATCCAAAGTGCGCCAATTTACTTACAGAATAAAGTACATCCGAAAATACGTACGTTTTAATAAAAAGAAAGCACAAGTACATTTTCGAAAGGATATGTATCAACTCAAAAATACAAATACAAGAAAACCACACATGTTTAAAGAATAACAATTATTGTACCACGGAAGGCAGTGAGAAATGACGAATTCATTATTTAAAAATATTATTTACAACTTTTTTTATGGGTATAGTGATTTGTCCCCGATATTACTTCGTTTGGCATGCCATTCCAGTCATTGATGCCCATGGCAAGAGGTGAGGCGGGGAATATTAATGAGCGTGATTGGGTTGCTGGATTACACCAAGTTCAGCGGGGAGGATGACGCTCGAGGTAACGCTGCACGAATCACTTACCATCAATCCGGGCAGGCCTACTGTATCCATCTTGCACGTCAGATGACCTCATGCGCCTCCAAGACAGCGCTCGCTTGATGATACACGTTTGGGGCTCTGTCGGAGACCGTCGAAACGAGTTTATATAGAGAGTCCCGTAGTCAGTTACCCCTCGGCTAGCACAGCGAGTGGACGTCTACGAAGGCGTGACGTCATGAGCTCTCTCCAATGGCTAGGTTCCTGCTCCATCTGTGCAGTATTTCGTGTTTGCTACACGTGCCGCAAGCTGCATTGCGCTGTCTCTTCCCGAAGAAATGAATCTTTCGCTCCTATCTGCCTTCTTTTTTTGTGTGTATCTTTCTCTTTTGCGTTTTGGACAGTCTTTGTGCATGTTGATCTGCGGAGTGGATATTTTATGGTGTCGTCACTCGAGAAAGCGGGAAGGCACGCGCCGTTCTGTATGGAAATCAAGTCTCAGTTCCTCGAGTTTATCGCGGGCAGTTTTGACTAAACGTCAAGCTTATTATTATTTTTTTTTTGCAAGGAATTTGTCTTTTTTTGCTTGATAGTAAAAAGCGGCGAAACCAACTACTTTAGAATAATTTACGTTTTATTATTTTATAAATATGCTGTTGGTTGTGCAATGTTATTTATAGAGTAAATCGGCGAATCTATTCCACTGTCTTTTTGTTTCAGCGATGTTTTTTTTTGTTGTTGTTGTTGTTGTTATTTTTAGGCAGTTGTGTGCTACGGACGCTATAACGGCGATTGTTGGTGAAAAAAAAAAAGAAACTCACAAATAACTGTGCGTGTGCATTCAATTTACAATTTATATGCACTCATAACGATTCACGCGCATCATTATACGATAAGTGCAAACCAATGACAATAAGTCTGAACGGACGATTTTTCTTCTTTCGCCAAACACTACCTAGAACAACTCTCATCGTTAATAACAGAATAAACTTGCCTTAGTTCTTCTTTCTAGGCGATGGCAGTCGCCAGCACAAAATCGAGAAATATGAGTTAACTCGGAGCCAGAACAAGCGGCCACGTGGCCTGGTGCTTATCCTATACCGCCAAGGCTAATCATAGCCACGTGCTGGGGGTTGGCAGTGTAGTGGCTAATTCGGGTGGTCATTTCCCGGCAAAATAGTTTGCCCCATCTTCGCCAAGGGCATTGGCGTGGTCTAAAGCTGGCAAGTGCGCGCCGTTCGGGTGGCGCTTCTCAGGTGTGGGCCGTCAATTTACGGGCACAATTATTGCCCGAGCTTCAAGAATTCGCGAAGCTTGTCTGCCAGACTGTATCCGGTATCGTCACATTCAAATAGGGAAATTGAACCAAACGAAACAATTGTCGCCTATAGCGGGTTTGAGTAAAAAACGAAGCCATTGAGACAGACACCCGGTCTGTGGTCTAATTAAAGACTGCAAAAACAACGGAGATAAAGATAAAATATTTAAAGGAAGCTCGCCCAAGATCAGTTTGTTATGGTACACAACATGTTATTACACCGCTGTAAAAAAAAAAATTCATTTATACTGCTGCATATTGACACTTGAACGCGCGTTACTATCTCAAAGGGCTAGGCTAAATGAGAAGGCTGAAAATTCCAGTAGAAAGGTAATAACAAGAAACTAGACTGTAAACAGCGACGCTGGTGAGCCTTTTAGGATCCTTGTAAGATGGCAACATCTATTCGGGATCAAGCTTTCATCATCAAGGTTTCCGAGGGCAAGGCAAAGAAAGAGTCCCCTTTTATCCTCGCATTTTCACCTCCACAAAGAAGCTTCTGCATCAGTGGCAGTCTGTGCAAGTATGTTTGGGAGAGACTAGCACCAGTACCCTTCTGCAAAGTCATGAACATTCCAACCCGATATTGTTCGTGACTCTTTAACGTATAATCACGCGTCCGACACTTTTCGTTCGTTTTGAATTATTTTTGCCCCTGGAGTATATTTATTGGTGATTTTTTTGTTATAACCTTAAAGTCTACGCTGCCTAGCTGAAGATTATTAATTACTGGATTTATAGGTGTTCTGTACAAAAATATTTACAAAGTGGAATTTTTAGCTGAGAAATTCGTGGTTTAGGATTCATTCAGTGACCCTTCGGTTACGTTTTGCGGACACGCGTCCAACGCTCTGACATGTTTTGTTTTTAATACTTCGTTGTTCTTTGCTTCTGTGTTTTTGAAAACATTTGCGATACAATAAACTTTGAACTTGTGACATTTCGACAATTATTGACTTTAAAATTTTATTGTTTCGGTAGACCATTCCGAAAAAAAATGAAGCGCCCCGTCCTATTTTCGACGCATTACGGCGATATGATCTACGGCACAGGAAGGATTACCCATCAACAGAAAGAACGGTCCACAACGATTTTGCGTTTCTCCATCTCTAAACGCAAAGAAGGCAGGATAATAACAAAACATGGTACGTTTCGGCTTTTGTCGTGTGTTCCTTCTGTTTTCGTTGCTCTCTGAACCAATATGATTTCCCTACCCCCCCCCCCCCCCCCCCCCCCGCTTCCTAGTTTGTTTGAGGGCGCCCCCTTATAAAAATCTTCCTCTGAATACAAAAAAAGAATAACTTAATATTTATTTGGCTCAAATAGTTGTTTTTTTTTTTTTTCGAGCGCGCTGGCTCAAAAGTGGTTCCTATAGATATTTTCCACAGGGGCGCCGCCATCATGAATTGTCGTCACTTCCAGTATGGGCGACGACAAAATAATAAAACGTTTCAAAATGTAACTAGCAAAAAAATAGAGGAGAGCCAAAACGAGAATGTGTGACGGTTAGGTTTACGTCCTAAAGGCCTTCTATTGGCGTGGCGACGGCAAAACAATGTTTTCGCCCATACTGGAAGTGACGACATTTCAAGATGGCGGCGCCCTTGTGGAAAAGGTCTATACGGAGCTGACATAACAGTAGGGAGTTTTAGAAGACCGTACGTGTTTCCCCCTCCGCTAGCCCTCCGCTACGAAGAAACCGCCACTGCGCCTGCGCGCCGATGGCCTTGGCTGTAGAGTTCCGGGTAGCGGAGGGGCTGAGGGAGCGGGAAACACGGTCTACTAAATCTCGCTACTGTCTACTAAAACTCAAACACGGTCTACTAAAACTCGCTAAAAGCATTAGAGCGCGAGCCGTTTTGTCGACCCTCCTCCGCGCTGCTTAGCTCCTTAATTGACTCCTCCTCTTCCTCTCGGTTCGCGTGCATCATCTGGGTGGAATCGCAAAGTGGAGAGCTCTGATATGCATCTTCCGCGCCCCTGTGAACAGTGTTGAGCATACACGGTTAGGAATTTCGGGGTGCGTGTTTAGTTATGGTGTTGCGATCAACTGCATATAGGAACGTGTGTTTCCCGTTTGGCCGCGTGTGTGTACAAGTGTGCCAGTTTTCGGCCGCGTGTGTGTATACAAGTGTGCCAGAGCAGTGTCGCATGGTTCCTGTAGTCTAGGTTCACTTTATTCGCAGTGTTTTGGTGCATGCTTGCTCTTTTTCCCTGACTTACTTTCTTTGTTCGTAAGTATAATTATTTTCCAACATATCACCTTAACGTTCGCGCTAAATCAAGAATGATTCATTATTTTTTCAAACAAATAAAAAGTAATCATATTAACGAGATATCGCCGTATTTACAGTCATGTTGCTTTTGCCGGTTCCTACGTATTGCATGGTTGGGTTATGTGAAGCCAGTACTTTTTTTGTTTTAATTAAAACGGAGAAGGTAAAATTAGCGGCAATATGAGCTGGATCAGTCTAGTGCTAGCCAAAAGAACTAAAAGGCCGCATGTGGTGCCATCCGCATACTAAGCTATAAAACCGACTGCCACACTGCAGATATAGAAAATGTGGCAGTCTTTTCCAACCTCTTTTTGAACAACTTAACCCCAGCGATACACCCGCCATCCCCCACTGCGACTCCGAAGAGGGCGACCCAAATCGCACGAGCTGTCCGCGTCGTGCGTACAGCCATTTCCGGTCGAGGTGCGCGACGTCGTGAGTGTAGTGTCATTTGAAAAAAAAAAATGGTTGTACGAAAAGCGATCATAAGCTTCTTCATTTTGAGGTGATTTCCCAATGTTGATTAAAAATAGTTGTGTAACGGCTATAAAGGACTACACCGAAGGTTACTGTTAGTATCAAATATCACCTTAAAGTGTTTTTTCAAGAATACCTGTTTAGTTTTTCCTCGCGTACGGTAAATGAAAGCTGGCATTTATATAAGAAGAAATTGCTTGAATAAACTGACAAGAACATACCCACTATTTCAATAAAAAATTACAATATTTACTTGTGGTTTAACCGTGAGCTTTAAAGGTTTCTGAACAAAAAAAAAAAAAAAGCGTTTCTTTGTAAAGCTAAACGCAACAACACCGTCAATGACTCGGATCGGTATAAAGTTTGTCATCTCGAATACGCGAACGAAAGCGCGTAGTAAATTTTATAATGGAGATCTTCCTTTAATGTTACGGAATAAGCTGCGAAAATTCTGGAGCATAGTGAACCCCCAAAATTCATCTGAAACAAACTTTGTAGCAACTAACGGTACTGCTGTTCCAGAGAGTGAATGTGCGAAGGTTTTTAACAATGCATTTGCTAGTGCATTTACAAAAGAGCGCTTTCGAGCCATGTCAACTGCTCTATCTTATAATTTAAATACGATGTCAATGGTCAGCGCGACGCCCAATGGTGTTCTAAACTTAATTAACACCTTAAAATTTGTTCTAGTCAGCAAGGAAAGATTGTATCATCTCCAGATTATTAATATGTGCTAAAACAAATTTCCTGTTGTTATTTATCACATTTTGTTTCTCACAAAGTTTGTCTGTAGGTCACATACCATCTGATTGGAAAATTGGTAAGGGCGTTCCGGTCCACAAGGGAGGCTCGAAATCTGACGTAAATAATTATAGGGCCGTTTCTTTGACCACTATTTCATATAAATTACTGAAACATAAAATATATTCGCATCTTACAAAATTTTAAGAGGACAATAATTTTTTTTTTTTCTATTCATCAACATGGTTTTCGAAAAAGATTTTCCTACGAAACACAATTAGCTGGCTTTGCTTTTGACATCCACTCTATA